ACAAGAGGGACAAGGGACGGACAAGGCGGATTTTTTTCGGTCGCTCACCAGTCACCTAGCTGTGTTTGGAGATTTATGTTTGTCCCTTGTCCCTCTTGTTCCCCTTCTCCAGGGTTTATTTTCATCACTAGATAGTACTCGTTGTCACGCGCTTCCATGCTCACGCTAACCATGGCTAAGGCTAGCGTGACTGTCGTCACCAGACAGATTGTGGTAACGACCGAAGTGGTCATTCCTCTAGAACAAGTCAAACGGAGCGGTCAAAACATCAAATTGTGGTCGTAGCCGCCTCTGTGATATTCCAGCCACGCTCAATGTCCAGCTGCCGGGCCAGTCGTCTCCAGTGCCCTACAAAGCCCCGGATCTTGTCCGCACAAACAGACTCTTCGGTTTCTCGTAGATTTTCTTCGAGAGCGTCGATGAAACACCGCTCCAAGCTTGTGCCCAGGCGGTACTGCGAATAATGTACCGGAGTCTTAGCACAGCCTCTTGGACGCACCACTTGAGAAAGAGCTATTCAAAGGAATCCTGCATTGAGTAAAGGTTTCTTGGTCGTTCACAATAACGAAATGAGCGAAATGCACCATGTGTACCGCGAACCTTAAGGGTTCCTAAGCAGTGTCGTGTCCTCAGCTTTGTGTGCGACGTCCCTTGGACAACTTTCAGAGGTATTCAGGCAGAGACTTTGAGTCCCGGTGCACCTGCGAACCTTGAGCATCGGACTAAGCTACGCTCGTGCGTTTTTTTTTTTTGAATCCCGGAGAAAAGCTCACCGGAGAAAAGCTCACCGGAGAATAGCTCACCGGAGATAAGCTCACCGGAGAAAAGCTCACCGCAAAACCGGCGGATGCGGCGAAAAGCTCACCGGCCATTGTGCGTATGCGGAGAAAATCTCACAGATTTTTTTTTCTTCTTTTTATATAGAGGCTGCTAAATTACGCGTAACATATGTCAATTTATTATCATTAAAAATCGCCGGCTTTGTAAAAAATAAAATGTATTTTTTTGTAATATTTGTTAAGCTTGTAATATTTGTTAAGTATTGAGTATATTGCTCCCAAATGAATAATTGCGGGTGAGTGTTTTCTGTGACTTACTCTCTAAGCAACGAAAGCCTTGAAAACTTTGTGAACTTGCAGAACAGAAAAAAGTTTGAAAACGTAATGGTATGTCTGCCTAAAACCGAAAAATTCCAACTGTAAATGCCGAAAATCCGAAAGTGCATGCGCAACAACGCGGTGCCTGAAATTATCTTTGAAGCTTTTGTTAACCTTTGAAAACAGGATAAAGCAGTCAGTGGGATATGAAGGCTGCTTTCTTCCACGGATGTGCACGTTTTCACACGTTGCCTTTGTGTGATAGTGCCCTCCTATGGGGAGCCACCCATGACTTTCAGAGCCGCACATTGGCACCGTTTTTACTCGTGACCTATATAAGACGTGGTCCTCTGTAAGGTAGCGAATAGGGCGAGTTGGTAAAGGACATGCCTGATGAAAACCGCTCAAACGACGACTACGGATTGAAGACAACAAGCACGACAGGACGAAGCTGTTCTCGCAACTAAATCTTTGTTAGTGAAATCAACAGAAAGAAAACAGCGTAGCCGACACTAATTACATCAACAAACACTTACTTACCTATTAGGCACTACATAATATTTCGAGCTAAAATGGTTCACGCACCGCTATTCATATTAGCTCGCAAATAACAAACCCCTTTATGTGACAGAGCTACTGACGGCGCACTGTCAGCTATCAATAAAGCGTTGTCTTTTTTTCCCGGTGTACGATTATTCTGATACTATACATGCGACTTCACTAATATACAAAATGGGTGATTACAAACTTCTGAGGAATTATTAAATATGCCCAATTAACTTCAAGAATATAACAAAAAAGAGGAAATATTTCTAATGAAGTGACGAATACGAATTGTCTTAGATTGCCACGTTTGACGCAAAATCCTCTAAGTTAAAAAAAAAAAAAAAAATCGGTGAGCGTTTCTCCGGATTTCCTCAAAGGTCGGTGAGCCTTTCTCCGCATCTGCCGGTTTTGCGGTGAGCTTTTCTCCGGTGAGCTTATCTCCGGTGAGCTTTTCTCCGCCGCCCCCTTTTTTTCAATGCCACAAAACGTTGTCAGGAGTTGGGTCCAGGTGCAACATATGTTTGCCACCCCTAAAGGTGTACTCACACGGGACATTCTTTCAACGCGCGACGGTGCCGTGAAACTGATACTTTGCGAAATCGGCCAACTCAAACGTCGACTTTAACGCGCGAAAATTCTGAGGTATTGACGCGCGAGAATTTCGCAAAACCTGGTCTTCTGCACCGGGAATATCAAGCGTTTCGCAGCAAATGATACGAAATACGCAGTGTGAAAATATTGCTTGCTTTATTAACATCGCTGGATAAACTTCGTCCGATTCGGCTCACTTTACTTAAAGGCGGTCTAAACCAACCGCGAAACGGGCCCGCAAAACTGAGGAAGGCAAATCCGTTTCTTTTTAATGTTTTTTTTTTTTTTTTTATCACATTTGTCTGTCGTTTCAGCCCAGAAGCGTGCGGGAGTGTATAAACGAACTCATCTCTGTTACGTCACGACGAGGTGGTGGCGCGTCGGTCGCACTTCCGGTCTGGGACTGTGGGCAGAAGTCCCCATGCCAGACGTGTATTCCTGCGTTGTTTTGAAAGGAACCAGACAAAAGCCTGCCTTCTCGTCAAAACGCCGCGACTGGGGCCGTACCAAAAGTATCGAGAAAGGTTTGAAGGTCAGTTTTCAGGTGCTCAGTTCGTCCGAGAATCAGGATATGTGCCGTGAAAAGGGAAAAGCAGACGCCTTCGGACAACGATTGCTTGGGCGGGAAGCACTTTGGGTTGAATTCACGGATGCTTGTGGTCATCAGATTTATTTGTGTTGTTGCAACATGAACGCCAGAAAGCCACCAAGTTGTGCGGACCACCTGCGGACTACGTTCAGTGCGTCTTCAAGTTCAAACGGCCGCCTGATTGTTCGAACTGTCGTCTGCTCTTTCAAACGTTTCTGCTTGTCGTCTGCTCTCTTAGACGACGCCGGCCCGTAGACCAATTGTTGGCCCGGTGCTTGCGATAAGAAGTGGGTGCAGGTCTCAAAAGACTTAAGTTTGAAGGTTGGTAAGCAGGCTCGCTGTAAACAGTAAATACAAGGAGATGTTGATCATTGTTACCAGTGACCATCACTGACTTGCTATGCCTAATAGACTTGGTCCGATTCTGCTAGCGATTTTTAGTATCGACGTCGACCATCTCAGCTACGGTTCACGCTTTTGTAGCCCGAGCGGCGTCGCGACTGAAAATTGCGAGCGAAATCACATCATGCGAATGAGGTTTTAGCTTACATACTGCGGCGTCCACGCGGAATGAATCGCCAGATGTCACATTATTCACGCGAAGTTTCACGGTGTAACGAGCCTCGGTAATTTTTTGCTGACGCCGCTCAAGTAGTAAGACATCACCAGGAAGACGTAGAATCAACAATTCGAACGTGAAAAAGAGCAGGGGGTCTCGCACCGACGCCGACAACATCGCATTTCAATGGTTTGTTTATGGGCGACGGCGAGCTTCTTGCCCACACCACAATCGCGCATGCGCGGCGCCGGTGGCGTCCGCTAGGGGTGCTCCGGTTTGTTTGTAAACATGCGTTGGTAAACTTGGAAGGGACGGAGACGGAAAGGTATAGAGGGAAAGGAAAAAAACGCGCATGACGGGCGGGAGAGGAAGAAAAGGCACCTGTTGTGGGATTTTTGAGTGACTTCGAGGGGAAGAATACAACAAAAGCAGCAGCTTCTTAAGCCTCTCTTTGCCCTTTTGTATCGTTCTCAAGAAGAAATTAGCGCCACACGCCACGAAGAGGATCGCGGCTCTCTCCGGGGCCGGGGGACAGATGAATATTTTCAACTCTGAACCGGCAAAGGGGACGCCACAAAAGTCACGTTCACGGTTCACGTGACCCTAGACGTCACTCTCCTCCTTCCGGATTTCTCCGGGACACGCTTTCTCCTGTTTTTCGGCATGGTTTGGACCGCGCTTAACTGGGCCTGCCAAACCTAGGAAAGACAAAAAAACATCAAAGACGACGCAGGTGATCTCGATGTATTTGATGCATGTTTCCACCTCTAAACGATAAGTGATCCCCAGTCTTCACCTTTATATGCAGTGCTTGCACTTGTCACGACTGTTGAGGAACCTGCACCGCGCCGCCAACCCGTACTGCCAACACGCACCGCACCATTTCTACGCTCCTCGCTCACCGTCAAGTTTCTATTCTTTTTTTCAGCTTCGGCTCGAATACGGGATCGTACAGAAATTAAGCTCCTTCAAAAGCTCGTTCCGCATTTAAGAGTAGGCGTCACCGCGATATCGAGCGGCATATTGGCAGCGTTTCTCTTTCGGGTGATTGACGGACTTCAATGAAGTTTGAGCAAAATCTTGCTCTGAGAGCGAGGATGCGTAAGTCTTTTCTCGTCTCGATGAAACGGCACATCTTTTTCCCGAAACCTAGGTTCACTAGACTCGCCGAAAAAAATGTTGCAGCATGTGAATAGACCTTCGGAGAGTTGTCTTTTGAAAGACGATGATTAAGAGATGATGTTGAGCATGTGAATTGCGCGACAGCAAGCTCAAACATAGGCTCAAGCCCAACTCCTGACAGCCATCGAAAACGAAAGGAGGCCGCCAAAAAATTTAATTGGGTTATGTCTCTGGTAAGAAAAGTCGCTGGCTTGCCCATAGACAACTTAATAAACGAAAGGCATGAACTATTATGATCACACGTGCTTTGTGATTCGTTTTTCGTTGTTCTTAGCTGCTGATGTTGCAATCTGATTTTCTGTGGAGCCCTCCGCTTCCTGCGTTTTCGACTACTATAGTGGAATTTTATTGTCACGGGTGGGTGATTAAAAGAACAATGAATAGCACAATGCCGCGCGAGGCGCTATGCTATAAGAGGAAAGCTACATTTGCAGGTTCAACTGACCTGCTGCATAGCCTTGCCGATGGCCCTGTAGGCTGGCACTCGGTAAGAATCACTGAACGTTTGGTATGTCCCGTGGACGAGAGCAGGCGTCTCGCCTCTGCACGAAATGTTGGACAGGCAGACCAAATGCACGAAGTTCCACTTGCACGGCCCGTGGAAAACCTTCTCAGGATGGTGGTGGAACACGGTGTTGATGATGTCCTGGTCGTGGAAATCTAGCACCTTGTGGTGATACTTGTCCATCCACGAAAGGAGGAGTGCGTCCAGACCAGAGTTTCGCATCCGCGTGAGGTTCATCAGCATTACCCCGGCATTGATTCCTGAGTGAAAAAGCTCACCGGTGTCACAACGACACTGACGAAAGATATATTGAACCAGACGCCCAGTTCGCTTACCGTAACGCTTATAGTGGGGCATTTCCCATTCATTATAGATGGTAAGTGCCTCGTCCTCGACGTCAGAAAATACTACAGCCAGTTGCTGGTCGTTCATCTGACCAAAGTAGTTCCAGAGATCTTCCACAGGGTGAAAGAATACGGCGTCCGAGTCCACGTACAGGACTCCGTCTTCCTCAGATAGCAGTCTCTGTGGAACAAGAGGACTTCGTCAAGACAAACCACGTGGCGTCCCCGCTGTTCTGACGGCACGAATGTGGTGCGTTGTGCGTACATCCCGATTTATTTGGACTGCCCACCGAAACTAAGGTGCCTGGAACGCGTCTTCGACTGGTGTGTTTAGCGTCCTATTCCGGCCATGCATAGAAAGTGGTGCCGAAGCGGCAACAAAGGTCGTCACAAACGCCGGAGTGAAAGGCTGTCGGATGTCCCGATCCTTCTGGTTGGTTATGAAAGCTCCGGCGAAAAGCAGAGCAAACGCGAGTGTCGCTGTCGTCGCGGCGTCCCAACTCCTAGCTACGGAAGCTTCCGTCGACTGTCAAGTCGGAGAACGACTTGCAGCAGAACAGGCGTCTGCTACAATCACCACCGCTGCCGTTACACCACCAGGATCGCGGCCAGAGCCAGCATGACACAACGTTATCAGGCGAAATTCAGGGGGACCACCTTTTTGGGAGCGATAAACAGACCAGTCGGGGACGCTTTCCGGGTACAGTAGTGGAACGGCTACCTATGAACTTGGTGTGCCTTATTTACTTCCTCGCACAGTACCCCTAGAGCGAGTCGCTGCCACTTTGGAAAGAGGTCAAGTAAAAAACGGCAATAACGTTTGGGTTAAAATTAAAAAAAGACCTGGTTCAAAGTGAGATTACTCAGCATGACGTTAAGGTGCTAAATACTGCAATGCGAATCGCATTTTTTAGTTCGAAAGTAATTACAATAGTGATTCGCTGCATTGACTTTAACACAAATTGTGTTATATGGCTATCTCCTCGGAGTTTTCGGGTTTTCTCTCATGTAGTGGAAGAGCATTTCACTAGTGGTGTGTCCTCATCACGTTCACGCAGCACTCGTGTCCTCACTGATGGCGCATTCACACTGGAAGCGGATACGGTTCGCGAGCGACGCCATTCAGACACACCAAGAGGCGGTTGACGGCTTCTCGGCGATCACGCGTGATCTTTTGAGACTTGCGTTTGGCGACCCTGTTTTGCAATCCAAAATTCACTTTATTCGACGATCCAAAGCCAACATTTTGCTATTTTGGCACTCTGAAGATTTTTCTCCGGGATGTTCGCACGCATTACAAGTTCAGGCGGCGAAAAAAAAAAGAGCATGGACACGCCAACCTCGGCTGTGATTCCCTCGACTTCGCCCACAAACAAAGCGCAGCTAGGCGCGCCTTGCTGACTTAAAGTCAGTGACTTTATGGTGACTCAAAACAGAATGCCCCCGACCTTTTCTTCGAAGTTGGACCCTTCCCGCATGAATAGCTGGCCTTGTTTTCGGGATAGAGGGCCAGTTTCCCCAAATCGTTTGCTCTTATCATCTTCGAAGTTGTGAGAGGTGGGGTGGACTGTGGTGCGGGCTGCGGGGCAATGTGTTCGGTGCCCGGTCGTGGCTTCGTTGGTGGCGGACACTCGCACGTCGATCGAGTCTACTGTTTGTTTGACTTTAAGCTCAAATAAACGCCGTATGGATTACCTCTGCATCGTTTGGTACGTACGCTTGATTCCTAGAGTAGTTTCCCTTTATTTCTTTTGTAAGGAGTAAACATTACATGTCGAGCTAGCGCAGTTAATTACCCTGCCCGCTCCACGATAGTGCGCTGGCTGCGCAATCAGGCTCACGACGTCTCTATCGCCCTTCGTGGTAGTCATGCACGGTGTCGAAAGCTTTCAATAGTTCACGCGACTATCCTAGTGGCTAGAAAAGCTGACATTTCGGTCGATCAGGAGCGGGTTCCGACCTTCCACGAGCAGAGACTAACAAGACAGCGAGCTTCGGGCTGTGGCACCCGGAGTAATAAACAAGCTCTTACGCGAACCAAATCACCGGTGCGAAGCCCGTTAAAATTCTGAGTCAATTCCCTTCGCGACGGATTCAAGTGACGAACGTTAACATCGCGTTTCTCCGTTGATTTGTCTGCTGTAACGCTAGGACTACAGCGCATTGGACGCCTCACCAGCGACAGGTGCCATTTTGTTTCGAAAGTCACTGACGTCACGTCAGCGTCGCGTTGTGATTGGTTGCCGCTTTGCGGTTCGTGAAAGCGGTTGCGAAAAATCGGCCCCGAAGTGGTCCGCAAAAACGCGCTCCAACCCCTCGATCCTAGCCGCTTTGCGGTTGAGAACGCGCGGATCCGCTTCGCGTTTGCGGATCCGCTTCCAGCGTGAACGCGCCATTAATAACCACGAGTTTCGCCAGCCTAATGCTGTCGCCTCACTGGTGTCCAGTCTATGCCCTGCGCTGACTTCCGGATAGGTCACCTAAACAATTACAGGAGAACGCTTAAGCTTCGCCTTTAAGAGTGGAACGCCATAGCCGAATATAAACCCCGTCCGTGCGAGCGCGTCTGCGTCGCCTTATTCATGTAACCTGTAGTGTGCTGGAGTTGTGCGACTCTCACTGTCGGAAGTTTGCAATGCTGCAAATGGATCTCGAAAAGACCTTCCATTGCGTGTCACATGACATTCTTTTCAGCATATTGAATCATATAGGAGTGGGCAAAGTTATTTTCGAAGGTATCAAAATGGCTCATAGAATTTGCTCGACTATAGTCTGTTTCACCTTATGATGTACCGCAGGAAATGCTACAAGCGCGAGCTCCTTGCTCTGGGGCACATCTCGGCGGCACAAGCTCTCGTGACTTAAGAGCAGCTGCCAACGCTGTGAACTCGCGCTTCTAGCCTTCGCTGCGGTACAACATAACGTGAAACGGAGTATAGTCTTGTTCACAACAAACAAGTGTCCCGGCGCTTCCCGATATTATCATCTGTTCGGCGATGTGGCCCGCTTTCTCCGTGGTTGTTCGCCGTTTTTCTTGAGCCTTTCTGTCGAGCCCTTGTGAACAGTCAGGCTATTTGTGTTTTTTTTTTTAATGCGTGTGAAGTTAAGATTTCGTCGTATGCAGGTGATCTTATTTTTTGCAACGGTCATGAGACCGTCTTGGCGGCTGTCCAGCTCACAAAAAAGTACTGTGCACAAACGGCTTATGCCGTCAATAGGCCTCTTGCGCTGAAGCTTTGAACAAACTATAGCGCCCTCATTTTGGGTAGTACAAGCTGACCTGATTGAGCCTTGTACTACTTATGGAACGCTGGTTGAGATTTTCTAAATTCTGTGTGGTGCTGAAGAACGGAAAGAAAACACCTTTGGACGCCAGAAATCGGCCAGACTGAACCCCGCAAGACAATCAAAAGTGCCAAATTCATGACAGCACCGCTAGGGTACGCGTCTCTTATCTCTGGCTGGTGACGTTAAAACACCTGTGACGCGACGTTTTCATTTTTCTTCTGCTTTGAAACCCGTGGAACGGCAGTTCTTGGCTCACGCTCTTAGCTTTGACGGCGTTCGAATTTTCGTCGTTTCTTCGTATTTTCATCGTGATCTCGCGCTCGGCACCAGAGCAGGCACGCTTCTGCATGCGTGACAGTTTGAGACACTAAAGTTTGTACTACCCAAAACAAGGTCTAACAAGTCCCTTTTCGCAGCACCCCCTGGGGAACGCAGGAGGCCCAGTGGGCGAAGTCATTGGGGATCTGGCACGGCCATTGGGACGTGGTTCCGCGTGTGTTTCAGACTGTTCAGTGGTCTACCTCGCCTGGAGTGTACTTGGGAGTGCCTTTGAACACGTATCGTGAAAACAATGAACTTTGAACCGCTGAAACAGAAAAGATCATTCTCAAGACATCAAATTGGGGGCTCGTGATTTTTTATTTTTTTTTTTATTTTTGCACGAGCCACAGTATGTAATCTATGCTTTGTGGGAAAAATCTGGCATCTGTTACAAGTGTTACACTGTTCTCGCGTCCACCGGCAGCGTATGCAAAGGGTGTTTTCAACCTATACTGGGTGTTTCACGGAAGGTATACAAATTCTGTATTGCGACAACTACGCGTCGCAACAAAAAGAAAGGCTTGTGTCGTTTAGGTCCTGGGCCCGGGGTCTATTTAGGATATTGATCAAGTCCGGGATAATTAAGTTGTTAATTATTTTCGCGTAATTAACTTTTTTAATATTGTGTTTAAGAGCATGGTTTCAATTAGATAATTGATCAGCATCATCGCAAAACACTAAGTCAACAAATTGCGGAACGATAGAAAACACGCGAAGCATTTTACGACTTTCTGAAAAACCGCACAAAATTTGACGGGTTTTTAAGTTTCGGTTTGCTATCGGAGCGCATCTTGATCCCGACGGCACCGTGCTCCGTGGAGAAATAGTGCAACCAGCTTCTGCTGCGTATCGCGATGACAACGCAGCACAGGTTGGTTGCACTATTTCTTCACAGGGCGCGGTGCCGTCGGGGCCGAAATGCGCTCCGATAGCAAACCGAAACTTAAAAACTCGTCAAATTTGTGCGGTTTTTCAGAAAGCCGTAAAATGCTGCGCGTGCCTTCTATCGTTTTGCAATTTTTTGATTTCGTGTTTTTCGATGATGCTGATCAATTTTCTAATTGAAACCATGCCCTTAAACACAACATTAAATACTTAATTACGCAAAAATAATTAACAATCTAATTATCCCGGACTTTAGAATTTCCCTATATAGGCCCCTGGCCCAGAAACAAAACGACACAAGTCTTTTTTGTTGCGACGCGTAGTTTTTGCAATATCAAATTTGTCCACCTTCCGTGAAACGCCCTGCATATGGAATTCAACCTGGGAACGAACTGGTCGTGATAACGCTTTTCGTCGTGTAAGATCAGGTGGCATTAGCTTGTGTAATTTGTTTGTATGGCAACTGGTCTCACGATATTTTTTGATTTTTTTTTTGCGGGGTCAGGCAGACTTTTTTTTACGAAGTATTATACAAGTATAATTATTTAGCAAAGTACACGAGTTTATCGTTTCTACTTGTGATGACTATAGAGGCAAAGTCAGTGGGCTTCTTAATAAGGTTTTTGTGCTGTGCAGTTCGATTTATTTGTGTTCGTTTTTCAATAAAATACTTGTGTTCAGGAAGACTTTGACGAGCGTGTTGTTTTGTGCTTTCTTACTGTTATATACTTGTGTTCAGTGACGCGGAAGTGGCTGTCACGGGATCTTGTGGACTACTTATTTCCTGTCCCATTGTACGGCTTAGCGTACCGTGATGATACGGAGAGCGATGTGTTGTGTCGTGTGAAAAGAATGCAACTAGGTGGGTCGGTAAATACCTTTTTTTTTAATCTACATATTAACACCTTGTTTGTTCAAACTTGGTTGGCCGGAATAGACATGTTTGTACTGTGGGCTGAGGATTGTTGTCTCTGCAAGACACCCAAGACTATGGAACTCAGTGTTCCTCGACTGTTAAGACCCCATCCTGTTTTGGTACGTGCTCCAACGCACGCTAAGGAAAGACTTACCACTAAAGGTTCGAGGAATCCGGTTCTTATCGGTAGAGAACAATCCCTTCCCGTACGTCCTTCTGATGCTAGTGGGTCTACATGCAATATGGAAAAGCTGGATGGCAGTCCGCCATGCTGATCCGCATGCCGCCCGGTGCGCCTCAACTTCATCGAGAGTTTAAACTGGATGATACCTGTGTGCCAGAAAATATGTCCGGACTCAGAATAGCTAAAGATTTAACGGCTGGAGACGGGACAATAAATTGTTCCGTCCCTCCGATGCAGGCTTTTCTGCGGCGCGAGCTCCTTAAAAATGTATACAAGTTTGATGATGCTGACCAGGACACCAGAAAACAAAAGAAGGGCGTCTGAACGCCACTACACCGAAGATTCGCTTTCATTTCGGCTCATTCCGTGAGATGGGCTTGTACAGGGGTGATGCAACTATTTTTGTACCTTGCGCAGCTGCTGCTTGGAACGAAACCCTGACGTTATTGTCCTATCGAACACGGGTTCTTTTCTCACCACACCCCATAAACATTAAAAAAAAAACGAGCAACGTTCACCCTCTCAACTCGTATCCAGAACAAGTGGCCACGTGATCTGGAACCGCTTACATGCCGCCAATGTTAATCATAGCTTTTAAATGCAAAGGGGCAAGCGAGCTGGACAGTAATGCTGGACAGCTGTGTTTGGAGATTTAATGTTTGTCCCTTGTCCCTCTTGTTCCCCTTCTCCAGGGATTCTTTTCTTCATCGTTAATCATAGCCACGCGCTAGAGTTGGCAAAGCACAGGAGACGCGCTGAGTTTGACATTGTTAAGGATGGACGATTTTAGTCATTGCAGCGATTGGAGGCGGGCCACTACCCGAATGCTTGCGGAGCTATTGATTATCGCAAACCCAAATCGAGTACTCACGCGATTCCCGGGTCCAATTTATGAGCCGCTTTCAAATATCGTCAAGGGGAGGTACAGCGACACGCCAGCAACGTCATCGAGCCTTGCGAAGGAGAGATTGATAGAAAACGCTCGCTTTTGTTTTTAAAATTACACCGCAACAAGGAAGTTTCTTGGCCAGTGGCGTGGCGTGCCAGTATACTTGGGCCAGACTTGTGCAAGTAGGCTCGTGTAAAGTAAAAAAAACATTCTAAGCGAACATCGCCTTTTTATATGATTTCTCGTGGTTGTAACGCTTTTTGTTATCTGTTTATCGTCACTTCCGGCTATTACAGCCGAACTTTAGAGCTCAATGAAAATCGGCTGGTGAAACAAATTTTGCGTTAAAGAAATCCACCACTACGACCTTGTAAATAACCGTTCACACGGCAGCGTTTGAATACTATCCGTTGGCTGTGTGGAAGAAAAATAACCAAGTGAGACCGGAGTTACACCCCAACGTACGGCCGAGCGCCGGCAAGCCTCTGATTTTAACGTGAAATGTTCTTTGGCCAGTTGCTCAGAATTTCGTGAAGCCCAAAATGTGAACCGACCGCGAAGCTCGACGCTGATTGGTTCACGGGGGAGAGGAGGAACGAAGGAAGCTTAACGCTGATTGGTTAACGGGGGACGTCACGTGGCTAGAGGTTGATGAGGAGTTTGACCCCCTGCGCACCGACGGAGGATGTTTGACGCTCTAACGGAGGGGGCACTTGGCTAGAGATGAGTGAGGAGGAAGTGTTCACATAATTGTGCGAGGGCGGACTGACGGAGAAGTGATAAGCGGTATCGCGTCAGGGGGTGTGGTACGCGTTAAGTTATCGCTCGAAAACCGGCGTGAACGTAGGCTTTTAGCTGTGCGGAATCTCAGTGATGAACAGCGTGAGCAAACACCTGAGTTTGAGCACTAGAGACTAATCCCACACAACACGAACCAACATCAACGTGCTTATAAAGTGTAAGTGCTGATTGTTGGGCAAGTTGGTATGGTACGTTAGAAAACATGATTGCGCTTTGAAATCAGGGACATAGGAAGAACAGACACCGCAGAGCGAATAAGCCACAACTTTTCACGTATGCAACAAAATTGCCTAGCCATTTGCCATGCACCTTTTTCAATCTGAATTCGTTCCCTAATAACGTTACCATTATCTGTACAAAAATAACGCTAACAGTTTTTGGTAAGTCACCCGCAATTCCCTCTCTTTTACTTTCTCATGCATAGTAGGCAGGGGTCTTGTAAAGCCAACAGAGTCCGTGCTCATATTTTGCTGCTGTTGACCAGATCAGCCCTCGGATACGTACCGGCATAAAAAGCCGCTGAAAAGTGCAGTTTTCGGGCCCTGCCAGGCTCTTGGGCGGACGAACGAGGCGCATCTCGTAGGTTACCCGTTCGAGGACGCTAGCTGGCCACTCTCGGAGCTGCACAGGAAAGCATCAGAACTCGTGTGATACATGGTTACCTAAATAGTGATCTTCTGCGGGCTCTTCAAAGCTAAATTGGTCACTGCTGCAGCTGGAATATCTTACTAGGGCTGGGACGTGATCGGGAAGTTAAAACTCTACCATGTAGCTCGACCGTAGAGGCCCAGAAATGAAACACAACATGCCGAAAATTAGTCATCTCGTGGCGGCAGTAAGTCTGGATAGCACTGTTCATGCCGGCACAAATCTTGGGTCAGCCGACATTTCCAATTTGAATGAGTTTCAAAATGGTTAGTTGGTGACTCAGGTATTCCCATTTTCACAGTTTTGATAACAGCTTCATTGTGGTTGGCTGAAAGTTTAAGTCGACCTTTGCTCCAAAATTTTACCACGTTTCATCGAGGCTAGCCTATAGCTTAGGTTAGGCAACATTCCCGCCTTATCAAGTGCGTTTTTCTAGCCTTTACGCAGTGCAGCAAACAATCACAATTCCCACCTTGGTTGACAGTGTCATCGTGGCTAGTTCATGGGTTAGTTCGCATAATATTCTTTACTTTGATGACAGCTTCATACCTCGTGTCTTAGGTAGGTGATGAAAGATTATTTGACGCTAGGTTATAAGTAACCTCTACTAATAATTCCAGGCTGAGATGAGTTAACGCCATGACTGGTTCATGGCCGATCCCACCGTGCCTAGTTGATAAACTTGTAACCGTAAAATTCTTACCTGGCAACATGAATTGTGGCCGCACGTGGCTACTTATGACGAGTCTTCGTACCTTTCAAGTCAAAATCAAGAAGCTTACTCGACATGCTCAAAGAACACGAGGATTCCGTTTCTGCCATCGGTTCTCATTTTTCATTAAAATAATTATGAAATTATTGTCGACTCGAATTTTCTAAGTGCAAATTCTTGAGTGGGTACAACGATAACTAGCGCACAAGGGTAAAAAGCCCCCCAAAAGCTTCATTTTCATTATAAAATTTTGAAAATAAAAGCGGACTATCTCTTAGTCTCCTTTATTTAAAAGCCCACTGATTTCGTTTTTGCTTTTTTGTACTGACCTTTTACAAGCGTAAATTTTTTTATTTTTTTTATTGTGAGTACGCTGTTTGCGACCACAAGAATGTAAGGGGGGAGATTAGTGTAGAACCAAGTTCACTTGCTGGGTTCTGGTCCTGCACCTTGTGGAGGTTGCTCAGGAGCGAGTTTCTATTGTTTCTCTCTATGAACGTTGTAAAATTTAGTTTTCCGGCGTCGACTGATGTGTCCTGGTCATATAAGAGGGATCGGTCTTCAAACATTTTTAGGTATGTTCAAAGACCTGTTGTATTGTCCTTTCCTTTTGTGCGAATTTCTTTTCCTTCCTGGTCTCAGGTGGATTTATGTCAACTATTACCGTGTTATAAAAAACTAATTTACCTCCTAAATTGGTATGGTATCGTCTCAGTTACGGGATTTATCTGAACTATTTGGTACATACCGTGGGCAATCAAGTCAGCTGAATACACAAAAAAAAATACAAAGAAAAGGACTGAACAAATGCACCGCTAACTAACAACTTATTTTTACATTATTTTCTTCCCAGCCTAGGCACCTTCTTCTTCCTCCTACGGCACGTTAAACATGATTAAAAAGAAAGAAAAAAAAACGTTTGGCCCACTCAATGGGATATGGCAAACCGCAAAGACCACCTCGTCAATTACGGTTCACAAAAAAAAAAAAAAAAAATAACGACAATATTTCCGGGTTGCCACACTCCGTTGGGTAAAGGCCAAAATAAATTTTTTATAATGTTCATTGTGTCGTAGGGGGAAAGGGAAAGTGCCTAGACTGGGAAGATGATAAACTAAAAGTCAGTTGTTAGTCAGCGGTGTGTTTGTCCAGTCCTTTTCTCAGTGTTCTCGTTTTTTCGTATTCAGCTGACCCGATTGCCAATAGTATCTTCTCGTTCCTATGATTTCTTAGACTCGCATAATTAGGGGAACCAACGACGTCCTGCGCAAATTTGGGCGTAAATTAGGTGCAACGTACTCGAGTAACCTACGTCGCTACCACGTCAAAGTAGGTACTTGATGTTTGCGGTAGAGGACACAATAGAAGGGATGGCTACCGTGTCCTGAAGATGTTGGATGTTGTCGGCATCAGAAAATAGCAGGAGGCGCAGATGCGCCCTGGAGAAAGCCACAAGAGACTTCAGGTTAGCCATGGTGATATCGAATTGTGTTCCGCAGGTCACCACCACCAACGTGACTGGTCCCCTGCATGAAAAGGTGAGAAAGCGGGTTTTGTGTCTGGCAACATAACTGTTCGTATAATCTCTTCATATTGAGTAGGTATCAAAACTTATTTACGTTCTTTTTACACGCCCGAGATCTTGCAAAACAGCCCGGGTAAGGAGTTTGTCTTTCTCATAGTGAACAATGGAGGGTATCCAGCGCGATCGGGTGACATAGCGCTATAAATTATTAACAAATTTATGAACTCTGAATTATACTATCTGAATGCATTTTCTCCATAGTCCTTTGATCAGAGGTGCAACTACCAACAGCGATACGTAGAGTCTTGGTCTTGCTTTGCGTACCTAATAATAATAATAATAATTATTATTATTATTAATAATTATAATTTTCCATCAAGTACGAGTACATGATGGAAGGGAACCGAAGAAGAAAAACTGCATTTGTGCAGCTTAACGAGTACTGAGCCCCCTCCCCAATCGGCAACAGTGGCAGGTCACCAAAATATGTATCACTTCATAAACAAACAAACAAATAAAATACACAAGTCAGTGATTCAATATATAACTTTCTAATGGAGCAGAAAAATTAGCTCTGCTGAAGAGAATGTTTCGTATAAAACCTGACTAACCTTACCCGATAGAAAGGATCGTGTTGTTGAGTTCTCCTCAACAGTAGAGATTTTTAGGGAACCGTTTGTGCCCACCCTACCGTATCGGATGTGAAAAGACGGTTTCCTAAAACCGTTTTTCCGTTGTTCCTCCTATGACGTCACGCTATGGGCGCCACCGAAGTGTTTGTAAACGGTGGGCGGTACGCGGAATGGCCACGCCGCTCGCGCCTGATTCGCAGCTCCGCCGCCGCGAGCCTTCCGTTTCGACGAGTTGTGCCTTTTTTTCTGCGGTGCTGCCCGCTCGCAAAAATTTCCTCGTGTTCTCAAAGGCAACTACAACCGTTTACATTTTTTACAGCGAACCTGTTTCTGGTTAGGGTTTCGTGGGTTATTTGTGTGGGTGACCAAAACCTCTACGCTCGCACTGCCTGCACGCGCACGCCTTCCCCCTATAAAAGATTAGAAGTAAATAAAAAATAAAAAGTTGACAAACGCGAGTGCAAGATTCCATTTCTTTTAGGCTTTTGTTTTGGAACAGTTATTGTTGCAGACGCCGGCACGTGCGTCGCGTGGAACAGCATTCCCTGCATATTCCTTGATGCTTGGGTAATTTAGCAACATGTCTATTTCACTTCTCTTATCGTAATGGGGAAGCCGTGTATTCGCGACTCCAGCGACCTATAGAGGGCGCCACTGTCGGGCAAACATGGCGGTCGAATCCAGGTTGTGAAGTGCCATCTGCCAGCTCAATGCACAACGCTGGGGCACCAGCAAGTAAGCATTGAGTTCAAAATTGGTTCCCCCGCGTTTTATCTTCCACGTTTCGAACCTGCGGCGATGTGTTCGGGTAAGCGAACTTCCAGAGGCTTGACTTTCTTCGAGGAAACGAGGAAAGGACTGCCCACTGTCCTTCCACGGTGCTGATGAACGTTGAGAAACGCAGAATGTCTGGCTCACGCGGCTACATAGGTCGCGTGCAGAGCAACCTGGGTCGGCGATACTACGGTTACGACACAGTCACCGGTAGAACTGTTCTGTCACGCAAACCGTTGACAACATGCAAACACGGAAGCCAGAAGAGACGAGCAGAAATCGCGAAGGGACCTGTTCCGGTCAGTTCAGTGTTTTCCCGCTAGGTGCCGTTAGTTTTGCTGGAGTTGCGAATAGTCCCGACTCCCGAAGAGCAACGCGCCTACGAAGAGCAACGGCGGGAACGCGAAGAGAGAATGTCATTGGCGGCGGCGGGCGGCAAACACCAGCGATGAATTTCGTGCACAAAACGCCGAGCGTATTCGGCATACCGGACACGACGAGGAACGTCGCGGGGCGGAGAACGCATCAAAAAGACGCAGGTACCGTGCTGCTAGATTGGGCAACTTTAATAGAGCATACGCTACATTTTGTGTCACGTCTGTGTCGTGTTCTAACAAGTTTCGCTGGCCATCCACCTCCACAAAGTGAAATGACTCATGATTTATTTTTTCTGCGAATGACGGCGAACGAGCAGAAAACGTATTTTCAGCACGCTGCCGCCCTGCCTCTGCAACGCTCCGAAGGGTCCAACTTTGGTACAGGCAAGAGGCCGTCCGGTGGCCGCATTCCGGGAAGCTCCCAGTTTATCCGGCCCCAAGATGCAGCAACAATAAGAGTCCCCCCTCTCCCTCTCTCTCCCCCCCCTCCCCCCCACCCCGCCATCAAGGTAGAAGTGGGAGGGAAGGAAATGGTGAGGGGTAGTGAAGAGCATTTTCACCTTGGTTGGAAACTATTTTACAGGTCGGTCTTTAATGGAGAGTTTAAAAATATCGAATCGCAGGGGATACCAACTTCTGCCGAGTCTCGCCTTTTTTATGGTGCAAAAGCTGAGGCATAAATACATGTGATGAGTGGTACCACTTTGTTATAATACCTAAGACTGGGTGTGAAAAAACTTCAACCAAAAGCAGAAGAGACAGGGAAAGAAGTCAGTCAGACGACGTCTCAAACTCAGCTGATACGTTTCTTCTGTAAACCTCACATATACATTTTAAAACCAAGGTTGTCACCAACCCAAAAAAAAAGGTCTGCCACTCTAAGACTGTAAAAGCGGGGGTTGTTAATTCAATAATCACGAATGCTTTAAACAGGTGTTGTGTAGATTTCATAGCAAAGGCAGCCAAAGGGCATTGTGAGAGGCTGAGCAGCGCGGGATACGGAGATTTCATCAGGAGGCACGTGGAGCAATTTAACCTTCTTTCACGCTACGCGATAAACAGCGGCTTCGAGTTTGTTCTTTCGAGAGCGGCTTTTGGTTGCGCGGATTGAGTTTGCCCTTCTCCGTGATGTGCGGTTGACGAAGGAATTGTGACTAGAAAAACACCAAAGGTAAGACGAAAAGTGCGCGAAGTAACTGGGTATCGGTTGTCTCCGTTTAACATCGCAGTGCTGTTGACGAGAAGACTGAGTAACTGCTTTCGAAACGCAAGTTTTTGTACCTGTGGGGGGAATCTGGCTTCGGAAATAAACACAGTTTGCGGAAAGCTCGTGTTACGCTTTTATTTGCTGCTGCTCTCGTCTTGTACAAGAGACATAGCGTCCTCGTCAAGCCTTATTGGGCTCGATTTGCTCGATTCGGGGCCGCCATACTGAGATGCAAGCGACGGAGGAACTTTGCTCCCCTGCTTCAGGGACGAAAGTTTCTCCCTTTCTAAAGGAACATAGGTTACAAGACCGTTCCTCCCCTAAGGGAGGACTATCCATACCCTTTTTTCTAAGAGTTCGTACATTCTGGCAAGCTCTCGTGACTCTGCCCCGTTTAACGGCAGTGGGCTGCGAGCATTGAGCGTAATGGTAATTGTCCAGCTGTCAGCCAATGTTTTAACTACTTCGTTTCATCAAGGGAAAGGTCAAATAAAAATGGCATTATCCAGAATGCACCGCATCATTTGTCCCTTGCGGAGTGGACTGCGTAAATTACTGGTCGATCTTCTGTTTTTGAGGCAGAAAATATTGAAGAGGACCACACTCGCAAAATCTCACAAACGCATAGTTACCGTGTTACCTGCTCCACACCTCGCCGTAACCGCTGGCTGTACGAGACTGTACGATGAAAACAGCGCGACTGCGTGGCGTCCATTTGCTATCCATGGCCCCGTCGAGTTCGTGCGCGTGCGCAGACATTTGCCGAATTTTTTCCGAATCCTTGCCGAACTCTCCTTCTAAATTTCTACCAACTAATATAAAATTGATTATTTACAACTCACTTTTTCTCTCGAACATCACCTACTGTCATTTAGTTTGGGGGAACACAACCATGACAAACATTTCAAAAATATTCTTACTACAGAAAAAAGCCGTTCGCGTTATCTCTAGTTCAGCTTACGATGCTCGCACAGAACCACTTTTTAAGTGTCTTAATGTTTGTGCCGTACAGTTTTTATATAATGACTTGCTGCTCAAGCGATACTATGCGGGAAAAAAACAAAATAACAATTTTATTGAGCAATTATTGAAATTAAAAAGAAACACTAGCAGCTATAACACACTTCACAGTGAAGTGTGGAATATACCCTTTGCACGTACAAATTACGGTACTCAATGAATTCTGTACACACTGCCATCATTACTCGATTTCCATACTCATTACAAAGTAAATGTGTTTTTGATGTTATTATGTTTCGTTTTATACAACCTCGTTTTCCCGGTTTTTGTTTTCACTGCATTATTGGCCTAACATATGCTAAGTTCTGCTTGAAGTGAGGCGCCAAAACAACGAGGACACAAGGAGAGAAGCATGTACAACCAACTAGCCCAACTCGCCGTGCTAAGTTCTGTTTTGCAAACTGCTGTATAGATTGTTATTTGTTACTTGTTTACTATTGTATAATAACCGCTGTCGCTAATTAGATCAATCGGGGGCACAGACCTCGTCAAGCCACACTCCAGTGGCTTTTTGTCTGTGCTCCCCGCATGACCATCCTTGTACGATGTGGTCTCAAATAAATTTGATTTGATTTGATTTGAAGTGCGGAACTTTGCTGAATCTGAAGTTCGGCAGATTCGATCCATCACTGACTTTTACGGCGCAGGTGATAGACCCCTAACAACGACGCTCATGCCGGACTGGCTGCTCGGCAACGCGCGGAAACTTAAATTTCGGATTCGGACGGCGCGTCTATCACTCAAACCGCATTAACCCCCCCCCCCCCCCCCCCCCCCCCCCCCGCCTGCGTTCACGACGCTTCGCGGCGACAGTGTGCACCCCCCCCCCCCCCCCCCCCCCCTTCCCTTCTATCCCCGTACACGCCGCTTTGCAGCCGGCAACCCAAGCCCCGCTGTCCCCCATGCACATCCGTAAATAGAGTCCGATACAATTAAGTTCAGCGCGTCGACATTTTTTTTTTTTTTTTTTTTGTGTGTAAAAGGGTGTCCGAACAGGATGCTACAAAAATCGTCAGGCCACACGTTTCCTGTAAACGCCCGTAGTCTTCGGTCGAATGTCTGTTTGCACACCGGCCAAGCCAAATTCACGACTTTTCTCCTCTCCTGCTCCACTTTACTTTAACGTCGGTGCTCGTCAGCCTTGACGTCACACGCCACCTGCCAATGGTGTGCGTGATACTTGT